CTTACTACTCGGTCAATCAGCGACTCTAAGCTTTAAATTATGAAGAAGCTTAAAGAAAGCACTTATAGAAACGTTCTCATCAGCGCTTATAGATGAAGAATATTTAGCTGCAATATTTAGCACCGAATTCAAAATTGGCAACAGTTCTGCCAAGTATTTTGATTGTTGATCACAATAGTAGCAGCAGCAAAAGCAACAAACTTTTGAAAATTGCTTAATCATTTTCTGATATTTTCAATTGACCAACTGCTAAAATTTGAAAGTACAAAGTTCAAAGTCTCTAAAAAAAAAAATTTTTTTTTCGGTGAAACAGAGAAAACTGTTTTTTTTTTTTACCAGTAAAAGTAATCTATATTTGAAGTACTAATATCTATTGGTTCAATACATTATATCTATTAGAACAGGGTAATCTTTGAGCGCTCAATAATTTAAATCATTATTTACAAGAACAAAAACAGTAGCAACAACAACAGTTTAAAGTTACTGCAGAAAATGATTTTGATATTTGAGGAAAATTCTGGCAAAGTACAGTAAGACTGTTGAAGCCAGCCATTGATGACTTTAGGGAGCTGAAGTGAATATTACAGTATACAAAGCTGCATATGTAAATGTGGCAGAAAAATGCTGTTTAATATAGTGATAACAAATTCAACAGGATTACTGTTAAACTGACCTGCAAATTTGGTATCCAAATGAGTTGAACGATGTTAATTTACAGACTACCATCTGAAAAATTTACATCTTTTTCCCCCTTCTTGTCTTTGGATATTATGAAGGAAAAAAAAAAACAAACAAAACAAAACAAATAATAGAGAACGCCTTAGTATTTTTACGTTTATGATTATCAATGAAATTTTAGTGCAGTGGATAACATTAACATCAGCAGCAGCATCAACAACAACAACAACAACAATGCTAATTGTGAGAATAATACCAACAACAGCATTGTTGCTCTGAACGAGAAAAAGAAGCACCTTTGTAAACTGAGTCCACTATACAACCGCAAGCGATATGGATAGAACGTTTTTTGCCGCTTATTAGAACTTTAAAAAAACCATCAAACAGTTATTCTACAACAGTCTTCATTTGTAGACAGAAGAAACATTTCTTAAGGATTAAAATTGTTTTAAGAAAGCAAAGTTTTTTTACTGCCAAGTTTACTCTGCTTTATTTGAGTGCAAAAAAAGATTGTAACAGTAATAAATTTGTTTTAAAAAAAAAAAAATTTAAGTTATAATAATGAGAAGCGATTGAAAAGAAAAAAGAAAGTTTTATGAGCATCAATTTTGTAATTGATAAGAAGAATAAAACAGAACAAAAAAAAAAAAAAGCAAGTAATATCAATGACTGTTTTTCCATCTATTCAATTAAGGTCATAACCAACACACCGTTGCCCTGATACAGGCGATACGATACTATCGACAATCTTTAGTAAATGACCTTTTCTATGCATATATTCATAAGATTTTTTGTTTTATTGCTTGTACTGGGCAACGATCTTTGGTTATTACTTTGATGCTTGAAGTTTACAACAAAGTTCAATCAGCTATTTGTTGTACAATGATTGTTGACAAAAAACAATTAGCACAATTGTTTTTAATTACTACTAGTAAAAAATTGAAAAAAATTAAAGAAAAAATCAGTAGGGTAAAAACTGTTAGACACAGGAAATATGCTGTCACCAATCTTTAAATGTTTTGCACAAAAAAAAAAAAAATGAGTACCTACCTATATAGATGTAAATAAAAGATAACAACAAGTGACATGTCTACGAAGATTGTTCGACAGATCAACAAACTGATCGATAGTGATTTGAAGTTTTATTAATGTTAGTTTTTTCTGGTTGCTGCGAAAAAAAAAAAA